ATTAGTTAAAAAATTTGAGAAATGTTATAAAACTAAAATTATAATAAATTTAGATTTGTATTAAAATATTAAATAAAAAAAAACAAATTTTTTTTAACTTGAACTTGAATTGAAAAGTCAAGTACAGCTTTAGTTCAGTGTAACTAACACTGAGCTACAAACTCGAGAGGGTACAAGTTTAACCCTTCGTACTTGCAATGTCCTATATACGTACAAATCATTTATGTAAATTTGAATATAAGAACAATTTTCAAAAATAGTACTGATGATGGATATTTGACAATACTGGAGACAGTTGTATGGTCAGCCAAAAATCAATGAATAAAAATAATATATAAAAATTTTTTGTTATTGTAGTTCATTACTTTTCGAAATCTCTCGGTGAATTAAATGAAAAAAAATGTAAATTACTACTTCTCAAAAACATTTCTATTGAATAAAAGTTTCTATTAAAAATTAAATATTATATTCTATTAAAAAAAAATTTTTCTTTCGTCATAATTGATTTTGTTTTAATATTTTTTTTAAAGGAAAATACCGGTGCACACATATTGTCATTTCATTTCAGATTAAGAGTTAATCTTATATTTTTATTTTAAGAATGTAAAAATTATATACAGTGAAAACTCTGTTAAGTCTTCTCAATACAGCAAGACCGCAGTTTCATGAGCGATACCAACTTTTTTTATTTATTTATTTATTTAACAATAAGTTTTTATTAAAACGCTTTAATTTTAGAATCTTTTTAGAATCTTAAAAACTAATAACATTACATTACATACAAATTATTTTATATACATACATGTATATACTACAACGAATTATAATGAATAATTGTATGAATTGTACATTATTTTATGAGGCCTCTGAATATGTAGCCACGGCTACATATCACCAGTGAAGATCACCAGTGAAACAAATAAGATCATTGACATATTTATTATGTATATTATGTATATTTAATATGCATATATAATGTACATATAAAACACATATATAATGTATATTTTATATACATATATATAAAAGAAAATATTACATATAAACAGAAAAAAATTTAATTTTTTTTTAGGAGAGTAAAATGAATGCCCATGCCCAGAATCCTTTTTAAATAGATTCTAACTTTGAAGTACTATCGTTTAAAATAATATTAAGTCTCTTAACTAAACATAAGTGCTGATGTCTGCAGTTGATTACTGATTAAGTGAGGTTTTACTGTATATTTGAAATGAATCGGTTTATTTAAAAATTAAATATTATAATGAAAGGAGAAAGTTGGGATAGTCCTAAATATGAATCGTTAATCAAAATTTTGTATGTACATGAATTTAATTATTTTATTAAAGTTACTCAAGTGACAAAGTAAAAAAATATATAAAAATTACTGATCAAAAAAAAGATATAAATGAAAACTAACATATAAATGTATTTAAAGATACCATTTAAAATCATGAATTTGAACCGCTTTACCATTTTTTCAATTGATTAACTGAAGTAGGGGAACATCGAACCTCCACAATTAATTAGAAAGCCTCATAGAGTTTCACTTATTACATATTACTTGTTATATTGTGTGGAGTGCAGAATGTTACTATTATATATATATTATATTTATACATATACTATGATATCAAGAATCATCCTAATAGGTGAACTAGGATGATGTCGGAAGTAGGAACTCTTCAATCAGCTAAGAAGCCTCTTGTATTGCATATTTCTCACTGTATTGTGAACGGTGTTGAATATTGTATATACTATATATTTTATTATTATTTTTGTTATTTTATTTATCCTTGTACCCAGAAGTAAATTGTTTATTAAGCTGACAAATTGAACTAAATAAAAGAAAGATTCTTTGCCTTAATTTATTACTTTTTAAACCCTAAATAAAAAAAAAAATTTTTTATACATACTTAATTAGAAAGACTATCAGGGCAATTATGCCATGTACAATTTTATGCTTGACAGCACATAAACCAATAAATTGCAAATATATATATATAATATATATGTAGTACTATAAACAATATAAGGTCCCTTTAGCCATAAAATTGTAAAAGTCTATAGCTATATGTGAATGAGTTACTGCATTATAAATATTTCCTTAATTTTTTTTTGTAGGGTAAAAGTGCAACTTTTTTGCAATTCGCGTGTTCGAAACGATTGTATTTTCGTGCAAACCCCCCAAAAACA